CCGCGCAAACGCAGTAGAAGCCATCGGTGGGCAGACCCAATTCTGCCGGGCTGGCGGCTTCAACATCGTCATACCACTCCAGGCGATGACCTTTATTAATGGTAACGGTTTTATTCTTCACAAAGACCATTTGGCGGTTCACGTACTCGGCCACTCCTTCAGAATTGCAAAGTATGGCATCTACGCGCGGGTTGAGAAATTTGAGGTAGGCGGTGGGATCGTACCAATGGATATGGCCTTCGTACCCGCGGTATAAAACTACTTTTACCCTGAGCCCCCGGGCGGCCGGAATACCATTGTACATGGCACGCCCGGTAAAGAGGTGCATTACATCATAGTTGCCTTTTTTAAGCTCCTGCCGAATGAATTTTCGCTGCCCGCGATCAAACTTCTCTTTGGGGTAAAAGTCAATCACGCGAATGCCGGCTTTTTTAAACACCGGAACGTATTCGGCATCTCCGTAGGTCATAATGGTTACCTCCATTCCACGTTTGGCGAGGCCCAGCATTATTTCTGCTTCCGGGCGTGCCGTATGTGTTGGACGATAATTGCTAATCACCAGCAGTTTTAGGGCCATGCAAAATTTTTAGGGCCGCAAGTTAGCCAATAAGCCGGAGCTTCTTTCGGCCGAAAGGCTTTTGAACACTATACCTGGTGCCTTGTGTTGTTTTTGAAAATACGGAACTATGAAAATCAAGCACTTAATATTTTCTATGCCGCTTTTGCTGATGGCTGTGGCCTGTGAAAGTGGCGGAATTGACTTTGATAAAATTGACGTGGACGACAGCGATAATATTAGTCGCGAAGAATATTTAAAGGATTGGTATGAGCAAGGCTACTTTGCCATTTGGGACAGAAACAATGACGGCAAAATTAGCAGTGAGGAATGGAACAAAGGCCTGAAAGATTACTATGAGGGCTATGCCTTTACGGAAGGCGATTACGAATCCTGGGACGTAAATGACGACCAATTTTTAAGCGAAGAGGAATTGGCCAACGGACAGTTTACCATTTACGATACCGACAATGACGGTGAAATTGAAAGAGTAGAGTTTGAGGCTTATCATTCAGACCTCAAGTAGATTGGCCGTAGTTTTTCTCGTCTTTTGCCAGAGATTCACCGCCTTGTTCTGTGCGCGTTTTTAATTCCTGGAAAAACTGGTCGTGTTTATCGGTGAGTACAGCGGCCATGTCAAACTTGTTGTAATACAC